TTAAAATGCATCTGCAAGTCATTTTGATTTAGTAAAGCTCTAACTGTTACAGAAGTCACTGATCTCATTTACCAGAAACCTTCAGGACTCTTGCTAACTTTTGCTTGCATTTCTGATCAGAGAACAAGAGAATGCAACAAACTATGATCATCAAGGCAAAGTAAAACCTCACCAAGATCAGAGTGCAGGATAACTGAAGTGTCAGTGGGGGAGCAGTTTGGGGCCAGTGATCATAATTCTATTAGTTTCAAAATAGTGATGGAAAAGGATAGGGCAGATCTAAAAGTTAAAGTTCTAAATTGGAGGAAGGCCAATTTTGACAGTATTACGCAAGGTCTTTCAAAAGTTGATTGGGGGAAGATTTTGCAGGTAAAGGGATGGCTGGGAAGTGGGAAGCCTTCAAAAATGAGATAACGAGAGTCAAAGACAGTATGTTCCTGTTAGGGTGAAGGACGAGGCTGGTAGGTGTAGGGAATGCTGAATGACTACAGAAAATTGAGGTATTGGTCAAGTAAAAGGAAGCATGTGTCAGCTATAGACAGCAGGGATTGAGTGATTCCCTAGAAGAGTATAAAGGCAGTTAAAGTATACTTAAGAGGGAAATGAGATAGCTTTGGCAAATAGGGTTGAGGAGAATCCAAAGGGATTCTACAAATATATTCTGGGGCAGCACAGTGGTTAGCACTACTGCCTCACAACACCAGGGACATGGGTTCAATTCCAGCCTCAGGCAACTGTCTGTGCGGAGTTTGCACATTCTCTGCGTGGGTTTCCTCCCACAGTCCAAAGGTGTGCAGGTTAGGTGGATTGGCCATGCTAAATTGCCTGTAGTGTTCAGGGAGGTGTAGATTAAGTGGGTTATAGGGGGATGGGTCTGGGTGGGATGCTTGGAGGTTTGGTGTGGACTTGTTGGGCCGAAGGTAGGGATTCTATGATTCTAAAAGGGCAACTAGGGAGAGAATTGGGCTCCTTGAAGATCATCAAGGCCACTTATGTGTGGAGATGGGAGAAGATATTAAATGAGTATTTTGCATTAGTGTTTACCGTGGAGGAGGATATGGAAGCTAGAGAACTTGCGGAAATAAATAGTGACATCTTGAAAAATGTCCATATTACAGAGGAATTGGTGCTGGAGTCTTTAAATGCATAAAGGTGGATAAATCACCAGGTCCTGATTTTTGGGAATTTTGTGGGAAGCTAGGGAAATGATTGCTGGGCCCCTTACTGAGATATTTGTATCATCGACAGCCACAGGTGAGGTGCCCAAAGACTGGAGGTTGGCTAACATGGTGCCGCTATTTAAGAAAGGTGGTAAGGAGACATCAGGCAAGTGTAGACCAGTGAGCCTGACATCGACGGTGAGCAAGTTGTTGGAGGGAATCCTGAGGGACAGAATTTACATGTATTTGGAAAGACAAAGACTGATTACAGATAGTCAACATGGCTTTGTGCGTGGAAATCATGTCTCACTAACTTGAGTTTTTGAAGTAGTGACGAAGACAATTGATGAAGGCAGAGCAGTGGACGTGATCCATATGGACTTCAGTAAGGTGTTTGACAAGGTTCCCCACGGTAGACTGGTTAGCAAGGCTAGATCACATGGAATACAGGAAGAACTAGCCATTTGGATACAGAACTGGCTAGATGGTAGGAGACAGAGGGTGGTGGTGGAGGGTTTCTTTTTCAGACTGGAGTCCCCGTGACCAGTGGTGCACCACAAGGATTGGTCCTAGGTCCACTGCTTTTTGTCATTTATAGAAATGATTTGCATGTGAACATAGAAGGCATGGCTAGTAAGTTTGCAGATGGCACCAAAATTGGTGGTGTAATGGACAGCGAAGGAGATTACCTCAGAGTACAATGGGACCTTGATCAGATGGGCCAAGTGGTGGCATGTGGAGTTTAATTTAGATAAATATGAGGTGCTGCATTTTGGAAAGGAAAATCAGGGCAGGACTTATACACTTAATTGTAAGGTCTTGGGGAGAGTTGCTGAACAAAGAGACCTTGGAGTGCAGGTTCATAGTTTCTTGAATGTGGAGTCACAGGAAGACAGGATAGTGAAGGCGGTGTTTGGTATGCTTGCCTTATTGGTCAGTGCATTGAGTATAGGAGTTGGGAGGTCATGTTGTGTACAGGACGTTGGTTATTCTACTTTTGGAATACTACATTCAATTCTGGGCTCAGTGCTATAGAAAGGAAGTCGTGAAACTTGAGAGGGTTTAGAAAAGATTTACAAAGATGATGCCAGGGTGGAGGGTTTGAGCAAAAGGGAGAGGCTGAGGCTATTTTCCCTTGAGCATCAGAGGCTGAGGAGTGAGCTTATAGAAGTTTATAAAATCATGAGGGGCATAGATAGGGCGAATAGACAAGGCTTTTTCCCCCCATGGCAGCAGAGTCCAAAACTAGAGGTCATAGGTTTAAGGGGAAAGATTTAAAAGGGAAATAAGGGGCATGTATGGAATGAGCTGCCAGAGGTGATGGTGGATGCTGGTACAATTACAACATTTAAAAGGCATCTGGATGGGTACATGAATAGGAGTGGTTTAAGAGGGATATTGGCCAAGTGCTGGCATATCAGACTAGATTAATTTGGGATATCTGGTCAGTGTGGATGGGTAGGACCAAAGGGTCTGTTTCTATGCTGCACAGCTCTATCACGCTACTTCAACGAAGACAAAGTAATTATTTAGTTGTGAGGAAGGGTCACCGGACCCGAAATGTTAACTGATTTTTCTTCACAGCTGCTGCCAGACCTGCTGAGCTTTTCCAGCAATTTCTGTTGTTGTTCCTAATTACTTAGCTATTTCTCTATTCTCATCTATAAATTCTCAGTAATAGACCCACATGCCTAAGACCAGAATACATAAGTTTAAGGTGAGGAGTAAGTAGTTTAGACAGGATCTGAGGAAAAATGTTTTCACCTAGAATGCGGCAGAAATACAACGTACTGCTTGAGAAGGTGGCAAAGGCAAGTACTCTCACAATATTTAAAGAAGCATCTGGATGAGCACTTAGAATGTCAGAGCAGAGTTGCTTATGGATTATGTACAGATAAATGGGGTTAGTGTAGTTTGGTTTTGTTGGTTGGCATAGATGTTGTAGACCAGAGGGCCTGTTTCAATGATGCATGATTCTATGGCACATTTGTTTTGGTCCGATGGTTACTTTTTATGTAACTGTAGAATCTTTTATGTCCCTTTTTGATTTTTTTTTGATAATTTACACACACATTCTATTTTTCCGTTCTTTAATTGCTTCTTGATCCCCCTTTGCTGAATTCTAAAATCCTTATCTTCAATTTTATTGCTACTTTAGAAGTTATTTCTTTTAATCTTATACAATCATCAACTTCCTTTCTTAGCCACACTTGACTGACATCTTTGGGTTTTTATTCCTTGAAGGAATAAATAATTGCTGTTAACTATAATAATTCTTTAAAGACTATTCATGACTATGTACCGTCATACCTGTCATTATTCCAAAGCTCTTCCACTTCTCATTTACTGCTGAGTCACCCAAGGTACCACAGACTTTGGTCTTGACACAACTCCCATGGAGAACCACTGCCTCACCAGTATCCACCATGCAAAACTTACTGGCAAGCAAGATCAAAAAGATGTCTACACTGCAAGCTGGTTCTCTTAGACAATGTGGCAGTCACCCATTCCCTCTCTGACTGTATGCTCCCCAACTACAATGTGACCAAAACATGCTTTCCATGCAATTCTCTGCCTGTAGATGTACTCCGGTGACTGCACAAGTTCTGAAATGCCGAGCTCAAACTTGTGCAGTTTGTGACACTTTCTACAAATGGGACACATAATGCATCTGTTACTTCCCACAGGCTGTACATTTCACTCAGCTCAGGTGACCTGTCATACCGTATATTAAAAATCTTTGTTACAATTTTAATAAGTAGAATAGCGCATCAGCTTCTTCACCTGTCCCAAAATAAAGAGTCGATTACTGCAGGTTGAAACAGGAGCACCTCTTTCTTCTCATCACCAAAACTGTTACCCAAATCAGGATTCAGTGAAGTTCAAAGCAGCACTGAGGAGGCCTCTTATGATGCTTCATAAAAGAAAACAACTTGATTCAAGCTCAGAAAGCTAGTTTTAACCAGTCACCTCATTAACTAGCTGCACCTGCTTTCAGCTTGTATACTCTTGTTTTGAGGCTGTAATAACAATAATTAATTTAATCAGTGAATTTTAGTTAACTGATAAATTAAGGAAAAGCTAGACTTTAGTTCAGAGTTAATCCATAAAACCCACATTCTTACCTGCTCTTAGAGCTGACCAAACCAGTAAATTTAAAATAAATTCAACAGAAAATGGTCCCAATAATCCCTGGGAGGTTTAAGGATCATCTTAGCTTCAGTGTTGAGATGTATTAACACATGCCTCCGCTGCTAGAGTACATGGGGAAGGCAAGAGAGATGACAAGCAAACTCAATTGGAACAATACGCAAGTCATTTACTTAAAACAAAATTAGTGATAACAAATAAATTTATAAAACATCTTTCATAACGTCTTAAAGTGGTTCTCAGCCACATAATCACTTTAAAAGTGCAATCACTTTAGGAAATGAAGAGAAAAACATTAGTAAAAAGGTTTTTTGCATACCTTTGTAACTATTATAGATGGTTTCAAAATATTATTGATGTTTCCAAACAAAAGGATATTTTCTATCACAGCTCAGGGGCTTCATAATATGAGCTAAAACATGAATTCTATTGATACCATAAGTTCAGAGACAAGTAGAGATACAAATATGGTTAGATACAACAACTGAAGGTGTTCCAAGGTGACATGACTGACCCTTCAAATTAGTGGAAGGTATCAAGAAGCTGAAGTAAATAAACAGTTTGATTTGGACATTACCCTGCAGGCTGTAAATATGGACAGAGTAGATCAAATTGGGTGGTTTTGAGAATATATAGCATACTCGCACTAAAATCAAGATTAGAGAAAACAAAAAAAAAAATCACCTATAATGGGTTTGAGATCAACTGATATTTAATTCAAGGTTTTATGAATGACACTTGGAGATAGCAAGAACTGCAGATGCTGGAGTCAGAGATAGCACAGTGTGGAGCTGGTGGAACACAGCAGGCCAGGCAGCATCAGAGGAACAGGAAATTTGATATTTTGGGTTGGGACCCTTCTTCAGAGTTGACACTTTTTTGCTTTTAAATTGCTGAGGGAGGTCTCTAAAGGAAATTGACATTTTCAAATGCAGGGATTTTGACACAATGTGGGACAGAGATCCTTGATGGTCCAATCAGATGTGGACTCTGGATGGGATAAATTTGAAGGATTGAATGGCCTTTACTCATTCAGTATTTTTGTTGTGTACCCTGACAAATGGAAAGGTGATGTGGACAGTCCAATGGAACTTCTGAAGCCAAGTGAAAAGTTTAGATTAACAGATCTGATCCTATTTGAAAACAGACTTTGACTGAACCAAAATATTCAAGTAGAGGATGTGTGAACTAAGCCAGGCAAAATGGCTCCTGCATTGAAAAGTTCAAAAATCAAGAGACTCAACTGAAACATTAGGGAGCCCAATTCATAGAAAGATAGATCCTCCAATCATGGAGAAGCCTGGACAAGCCTGTGTTCATTCAGTATTAATGAAACAACTAAAGGAATTGATAGAAATTATTTCAGGAAGTAACTGATACATTTTGCAAAGATAAAATTACAGAATATGGTGAAATTAATCAAACAGTACATTGACATTTGAGCTCAATACATTTTTCATGTTCTCGAAAAAGTGTTGGCATTTTAAAGTGACACAATCATCAAGCAAGCGATTTTTGTTGAAAAATTTCCTTTCATTTACAGATGGATGACAGAACGCTGTCACTCACTTCATCAAATGCTTCACCCTCCCAAAGCAATAAGTTGATCATCTAAATAAAGACACTGCCCCAGTAACAATAGTAGGCCTTTGTACACAAAATTGAGTGGTCCTGACTAGTACATCCATCAAACCACGCGGTTTATCTTTGTGGGACCACCGATACAGGATCCGTCCTGCAAAGCACAATATAAAATGGACATGGCCTGGAAGGCAAACAGTCTAACCTTTTGCATACCTCAAGACTTCAGAGTTTGACATCACAAATAAGTACGTATTACATTAACAAAGCATGTTATATAACAGAATTTACTTTATGAATGCTAAGCAGTTATATTTTCAGTGCATGTTATGTATAAAAGAAGGTATGAGAGTTCTTTGTGGTTTGATTTTGCATCAGGTGACTTGCTGGTCAGTACTGACCTCCCATCCAGTTATTCTGAATAATCTGGCCTAAACAGCAGCTCGAGAGAGAGAAAACCTAGCAGCTTCAAACTTTTTGATTCCATTTGCAAGACATAAAACAAGAGGGAGATGCCTGCCTCCATTAAATGGAGGGAAGGGGTTTCTACTGTCACTTCTTCAGCTTCTTGCTCATTTGGTCAATTGCTTCTTTGATCCTGTGCAGAGACAAAGTGATTACAATGCAGCTCATGTACCAAGAGAAAAGACAGAAAAGATATCTAAAAGTAGTATTTATTCTGCAGAAAATGCTGGACTTGCTTAGCAAATCAGGCAGCATCTGTGGAAGAGAGATTCAGAGCTAATGCTTCAGATTGATGACCTTTCAGAGTTCTGATGAAAGATTATTGAACTGGAACATTTACTCAGTTTCTCTCTCCACAGACGCTGCCTTAGTTGCTACTCCAGTACTTCCTGCTTTTATTTCAGATTTCTGCGTTATTTTGCTTTTGGTTTATTCTGTTATCCAGTGTACCACTGAAGTCCACATAGGGATGAACAACTACTCCAAATCAGATGATCTGATGGACCTGGTGCTTTCAGCACAGAGACTCTGAGACGAGAGATTCATTGAGCCTCCAATTTTCAAAAAGCTTTATTAGATTCAACTTGACAAAGTGTGGAGTTTTTTTTTACACTGAAAAATTAAATCCTTCCCAATGCTTTTAATTTGTTGTGCAAGTCCTATACTACATATCGTAATGACATCTGGTAATACATTACCTACAATTAATCCACTGTTCAGATCTGCAATCTGGCCAGCCAGAATCAACAAATAAAAAGATGTGTTGACTTTCGGGACAATTGGCCATGTTCAAGTTTCGCTGCTTGATGGCCCAGCTTGCTGTTGGTTTAGACTGAAATTTGATAGCCTGTTTCCCAGTTTCTGGGTGAATAAATAATTTTGTAATAACTGAGGTAACAGTTTTTCATTTTACAGAGGTATTATTGTCATCATTTTAATAATCTGCACTTAGTCCATGTCATGATTACACCTTCTCAGCATGTATACAATTGAATTTACCTCATTTATTTTAGGTAAAAAGCTTTAGGACAATTTAATTGCATAAAACTTACATAGAATATACCGCACAGCAACAGGCATTTCACTAATCTATATGTAAATCTGAGATAAATACAGAAAATACTGCAGTAGCTGGTAAGGCGGCATCTGTGGAGACAGAATCAGGTCAACAATCCTTCATCGGAACGCTGAAAGGTCATTAATCTGAAGGGTTAGCTCGGAATCTCTCTTCACAGATGTTTATAATCTATATGAGTCCCCTTTCATTTCTCATGAAAACAAAAAGCTGCCTCATTTCATTCTTTCAGCTTTTTCTTTAGTTCCCTTTTGTCTCATGTGACCGTACAGTTTGTTCTTGAAAGCATCTAAGCTATTTGCCTCAACCACAGTTGTATGAATAAAATTCACATTCTAATCACTGACTGAAGAAGTTTCTAATTTTGCTGTTGGATTTATTCATAATTTTAAAGACCATGATCAAGTCTCCTCTTTTCTAAGGAAAAGAAACCCAACCTGTTCTCTTTGTCATAGTTATAATCACTTAGTTCTGGTACCATTTTTGTACATCTTTTTATCGTAAGGAAACCAGGCGTATTATAGTACCGGAAGTGTGGCCCAGCCAATGTCTGACACAAATTTAGCATAACCTCACTTGGTCATCTATCTCAGACACTGAAACAGACTATATTTTTATATTTTATATGTTTTATAAGACAGAATTTAAGCAACATCCCTTGAAATCCAATGATATTACCATCCCTGAATCCCCCAATATCAACATTCTAGGGATTACCATTGACCACAAACTGAATTAGACTAGCCATATTAGTATTATGACTAGGAATCCCACAGCGACTAACTTGTCTCCTGACTCCCCAAAGCCTGCCCACTCTCTACAAGGCACAAATCAGGAGTGTGATGGAATACTCTCCACTTGCCTGGACGAGTGCAACTCCAACAACACTCAAGAAGCTTGACACGATCCAATACAAAGCAGTCCACTTGATTGGCACCACATCCATAAACATTCACCCCTTCCACCACAGATGCTCAGTCTCAGCTGTGTATACCATCTACAAGATGCACTACAGAAATACTGCATGGCTCCTAAGACATTATCTTCCAGACGTACAACAGCTACCATCCAGAAGGGAAAGGGTAGAGGTACACGAGAACATCACCACCTGCAAGTTCCCCTCTAAGTTGAAATCATCCAGACTTAGAAATATATAGCCATTCCTTCAGTGTTGCTTGGAAACCACGCATCTCCCGGAAGGTATTATGGGTCTACCTACAGCAAATGGACTGCAGTGGTTCAAGAATGCAGCTCACTACTATCTTTTCAATGGCTGAGGGCTGACCTTATAGAGGGCTATAAAATCATGAAGGGCATGGACAGGGTGAATAGCCAAGGACTTTATCCTATGGTGGGGGGAGTCCAAAACTAGAATTATAGGTTTAAATTGAGAGGGGAAAGATTTAAAAAGGACCTGAAGGGGATCTTTTCCATGCAGAGGGTGGTACGTGTATGGAATGAACTGCCAGAGGAAATGATGGAGACAGGTAAAATTATAACATTTAAAGGCATCTAGATGAGTATATGAATAGGAACGGTTTAGAGGGATATGGGCTGAATGCTGGCAAATGGGACTTGGTCAGATTGGAAACAAAGACAGAAGTTGCTGGAAAAGCTCAGCAGGTCTGGCAGCATCTGTGAAGAGAAATCAGAGTTAACATTTTGGGTCCAGTGAGCCTTCCTCACACCTGGCCTGAGATATTAACTGATTTCTCTTCACAGATGCTGCCAGACCTATTGGGCTTTTCCAGCAACTTCTGTTTTGTTTCTGATTTACAGCATCCTCAGTTCTTCAGTTTTTACTTGGTCAGATTGGGATGTCTGGTTAGCGTGGATGAGTTGGACTGAAGGATCTATTTCCATGCTGTATGACTCTATGATTCTACGGCAACTTTGGATAGTGACAAACAATGGCCCAGCCAGCAATGCCTATATTCCACTAGTGAATTTTTAAAAATCCCTAAAAATATATTTCCGTGCTTTGACATTTTTAATTGTTTTGCTGATCTGCAATGCAGCTTTTAATCATTTATTCACCATTATCCATAGATCCCTTTGCTTTTCTACATCTTTGTTTTGTATTTTATGATTTGTAAATTATATTTCTGTTTTTTGAACCAAAGCATTACCATATTTATGTTCAAGTTTATTTGCCACTAATAGTCCACTATGTTTTCAACCCTTCTTGTATTATGTTGTGTTGTTTCTCAATATTTCATAACATCAAATCTTTTGCTAAACATTAATTTAATGTCCAAGTATACAATTGTTGAGTAATACTGTACCGTGTCAGTGGGACCCGTTCTTCACACAAATTGACAAAGGCACTCAGCTGGTGAAGAGCATACTCATACTGCTACAACAGAACCACAAATGAACAATTATAAATGGTTTAAAAGTTTTGGCAAAGATCTGTAGCTCAGGTTGTGGGGGAGGTTGTTGACTTGCTTGCCGAGCTGGCTTTTTCTCAAATGAAAACAAGCCAGCTCAGCGAGCAAGTCAACAACCTCAATTATACATGGTGTCAACATCAGTTGCAATAATGAGATTCTCTAAAATGATAAAAGGAATTGAATACAAAAACAGAAATTGCTGCAGAAACTTGGCAGGTCTTGCAGCTCCTTTGGGAAGAAAGCAGAGTTAATGTTTCGAGTCTGCTGATTCTTCATCAGAACTGTTAACTGTTAAGAAAAAAAGTGGTATTTATGCTGAAGCTGAAGTTGGGAGGCCAAGAGATGAGGTCTAGGAGTACATCTCATTTTCTGCTTGAAAACCTTGCAGCCTCTCGGACTGAACATCGAGTTCAATGCGTTTAGAGCCGGATTCCATCCTTCCATGTTTTCTTTTACTCACCCCACACCTGATCCTGTTATGACATGGGTTGCTTTTAGCAGTCACCCATTCTCATGTACTCCTCGGCCCATTATCACGTTATATGGGTTGCATTCAGTATAGTTCACCCATTTTCTCCTATTCTCAGTTCTTACTATCACTTATCTTTTCTTCTGCCTTAGCTTGCCATCCATAATTTTCTGGTTAACCTACCCCTTTCGTATCTCTCTCTCTGGTCTCTAACCCTACCTATACTTCACCCCAATTTCAACATAAGCATCAATCCCACGTTTTCCTAGCTGCTATCAGTTCTGATGAAGAGCCACCAGACTGGAAATGTTAACTCTGCTTTCTTCCCACAGATGCTGGGAGAGCTGCTGAGTTTCTCCAGCAATTTCTGTTTTTGTTTCCAACATCCGTAGTTTTTTGTTTTACTTTAATGAATTAAGTAAATGGTAAACTTTGTACTTTTTTTACTAACTATTTCCATCCACAAATCTCACCCCCATCCCTTGTAAACCAAAAAAAAAATTTTCCAAACCAAATTGGAACAATAAACATAGATGCACTAGCAGGCAAACAGGAGGGAAACCAGAAGGCCGTTTATAGGATTTCTTAGAGTTCTGTATCTTTCATGGAACACATCAATGATTTAGACTTAATTGTGACGGAATGACTAAGAAGTTTGCACGATACAAATTTTAGCCCTGATAGTGATGCTGTTGACTGTAGGGAGATATCAGTGAATTGATCATTTGGGAAGACAAATGATAAATTTAAATCAATCTTGAGAAGAATGAAGTAATACATTTGAAAACAGCAAACAAGACACAAGAGGAACAGAACAGATAGATAATTTGGTTAAGAAGGCATACAAATGGCTTGCATTTTGCCTTTGCTGATAAAGGGAAGGTTATGCTTGAATGGTATAAAACACAACGTAAATGATGTGGAACTCAGTACATACCACAATATTCTACATTTAATGCCATACTTTATTAAGCTAACTGATCTCAGAGGGTGAGAGAGAGAAAGAATGAATTTGAGTGCACTGTCCTACTCTTGGTCCTGTGACCCTGATTTAAAAATGAATGTTGAATCAGAAAAGGGTCAGTAATGCTATGGTGCTGTATATGGTTATTAAGAGAATACAATGAACCACTTTATGCCTCCAATAGGTAAGTGCTGTACAGATCAATAGAAGCCATGGATGACTAGAGAAGCAAGCAACAAAATAAACTAAAAGGAAAAGTGTGCAAAAAGCACAGATCCCAACAATTGGGAAAAACAGAAGGAACAAAAGGTGACAAAATAGTAATTAAGAGCTACAAAAAGAATTTAAGATATTCAAAATCTAAATATTTTAATAATTCAATGGATCACAATGATAAAGAGATAGCAGACTGTTTAATAATTATAGTGTGTCAGTGGTTACAGTAGAGGAATTAGTCAACCTGCCAAAGTAACTGTTATTGAGTAAGGGACAAGGACTCACCAAAATTGACATAAAGAAAAAAGTAATGAAGAAAATAATGGCACTAAATAGTAACAAATCCTGAAGGCCAAATGGCTTGTCTCCCAGGATTGAAGGTTAGAACAGATGAAGGGTCAACAATCTGAAACATTAATCCTGTTTTTCTCTCTCCTCAGATGGTTCCTGTTGAGTTTTTTCCAGCACTAGCAATATATTGCTTTTGAATAATCTGTCAAAGTCCTATTGATTCAGGAGACACTCCTTTAGATTGGAAGTTGTACATGATAAACCAGAGACATACACAGTCCAGATAAACAATTCATTAAAATATCAACAGCAGAAAATAATCGAGTAGGCTAGGCTGCTCATCTTACTGTGTCGAGGGATGAAATATGAAAAGTAGGCACCATGCTTCAGCTATACAAAGACCTGGTTTGAACACACTGGCAGTACTGTAAGCAGTTCTGGGTACCATAGCTTATAAGGATACAACAGCCTTGGAAGAAATGGAATGTAGATTTACCAGAATGATTCTAAAATGGTGGATTAAGAGTAGCACATGCTCAAAGAACAAAACAGCACTGAAACAGGCCATTTAGCCTGCCAAGCCTGCACCAACACATTTTGTCCTTCCATACTAAAACTGTCTTCATTTACAGGATCCATATCCCTCTACTCCCTTGCTATTCATGTATTCTTCCAGGTGCTTCTTGAATACTGCTATTACGTCTGCTTCCACCACCTCCTTTGGTAGTGCATTCCAGGCACTCACCACCCTTTGTGGGAAAAATTTGCCTCGCACATCTGTTTTAAATCCGTCTACACCACCGAATCTTGAACCTCTGTCTCTAGTGATTGATGCCTCCACACTGGGAAAAAGCCTCATACTTTCCACTCTATCCATGCCATTCACAATCTGAAGCAGTGCAAGATACTGGATATAGACACATCCCTCCCTGATGAGCTCAATGCTTTCTATGTTCGGTTTGAGCAGAATGCCAGCGGCACAGTCATGCCTGCCCTGACTGCCCCAGACATGCCTGTTCCCTCTGTCACTGCTTCAGATGTGAGATTGGTCTTCCTGGGAGTCAACCCAAGGAAAGCGATGGGCCTGGATGGTATCCCTGGCCGAGGACTCAGATCCTTTGTGGACCAAATGGCAGAGGTATTCAAAAACATCTTCAACCTCTCCCTCCTACAAGCCGAAGTCCTCACCTACTTCAAGAATACCACTATCTTCCCTATACCTAAGAAATTACGTGCAACATGCCTTAATGACTACTGTCCAGTGGCTCGGAGTTCAATAATCATGTACAAAAACTGAAGTTGATGGAAGCTCAACAGATCTGGCAGCATCCGAGAAGAAAAAATATCAGAGTTAACGCTTCGGGTCCGGTGACTGAGCTTCCAGCAACTTCTGTTTTTGTTCCTGATTTGCAGCATCCGCAGTTCTTTTGGTTTTTATTCAATAACCATGAAGTGCTTTGCGAGGCCGGTCATGGCCCACATCAACTCCAGTCTCCCAGCCCACCTCAATCCCCTACAGTTTACCTACCGATGTAAGAGGTCCACAGAGGAAGCCATATCCCTAGCCCTGCACTCATCCCTGGAATATCTGGACATCGAAGACATCTACGTTGACTGCAGCTCTGCCTTCAACACCATTATCTCCTCCAGACTGATCTCAGCCCTCTGCAACTGGATCCTTGACTTCCTGACCATAGACTGCAACCAGTGAACATAGACAACCACACCTCCTCCACGATAACACTCAACACTGGAGCCCCCCCAAGGATGC